TTTGTGATTTGGTAACTTCTTACAGTAGCAGAACTTTGCTTTCTCACACCCTCAGCCTTAGTCTTTCCCAATCTGTACATCAGTCTGTTTCCTTACTAATTTATTTGTATTAAATCAGTTGTGAGCTTGTTGCCGTCTTTTACACAGATGATTACTTTTATAGCAGTCATGATTCTCTTTTCTTTTCTTTTTTTAATGAGTCATTGTTTTTATGTGCTATTCTGGTCTGGAATTTTAGAAAGAGACTCGTACCTCAGAGTGTGGTCTGAGACTAGACACATGAGAGTCACCGGCAAGCTTATGGAAGTGCAGAATCTCATCCAGCCCAGACCTGATAAGTCACAATCTGCCTTTTTTTTTTTTATTTATTAAGTTTTTGCCATAGGGCACATGTACTCACTGGAGAGAGACAGAGACAGAGATATGGAGGGTGAGAAATCACCACCCCTCCAGGAGGGATGGCCACACTGCAGTCACTTCTCCTCCCAGGATTTTGGGCATGCATGCACATGTACCTGGCATGGTTTTCAAGCTGTCGGGTCTGGAACTCGAACTTCACAGTAGGTTATGTAGGATCTACTGCCTTAATTTCCATACCACCTTCTGCCTTATACAGGATCCCTAACTGATGAAGTGTGCAGAGTTTGAGAAGCCCTGGTCTAAGGGAGACAATGAATGGAAAGGTTGGGGCTGTATTCTTAGGAGCTCCTATGTTTAATGTAGGTGAAAAGAAGCCCACCAGAGCAATTGTGGGATGAGAGAAGGCCACAGTGTGGGCTTCCCCTCGGAGGAAGGGAGGCCAGCGAGGCATCTTTCTGTCCCAGGTCACAAGATGGTGGTACCCACTAAGCAGTGACTGAATATATTAAAGATCTTAGGAAAATGATTTGCCAAGGTTTTTGTTAGCTGAATATTAAAACTTAGTTTGGGCTTCTACTGGAACTGAAACTCTTTTTCTCTTTGGTTTGCCCAGTTTCAGTACTTAGTTTTCTGTACAGGTAATCCAAGGCATATTGCATCTTTATTTTAATTTAGCAGGAGAAACTAAATTTAGTAGTAAGTTACCACTAGTTAGCCTGTAGGTTGGGATTCACAATACCCTGTATGTATCCACAGGACATTCTTGACTCATGAATGAAACTCCCGTGGCTATAAATTTACTTGTTCTGTGGACAGAAAGTCTCCATTCCTAGTAAGTGAATGTGCAGATAACATGACTGAATAAAATTCCTAATTATCCTTGGCCTTCGAGAAATAGCCTTTGGTGACATACAAACTCCTAACATTTTGAGCATATAACTTTATAATTCTTTACTGTATAACTTGCTAATTGACTGGCTTAAGACCAAGAAACATTACAAAGACTGACAGTTTCATAGCAGTATTAGCACTGTATTAAATTTAAGAGACCTGCACTTATATTTCTATTTAGATTTTTTTTTTTTTTTTAGTTTTTTACCATAAGACGTGTGCACTGGCCTGACAAAGAGAGAGAGAGACAGGGACAGTGAGAGAGAAAGTGAGAAATTGGGACCAGCAGGTGGCATAATGGTTACATCACTGAACTCCCACATAGTCAACTGTGGTTCGAGTCCTGGACCTGGGCCACTTAAAACTCACAGGTGCATGTACACACATGCCCAAGATTCCAAGAGGAAAAGGAGGGGAAGAGATTGCAATTTGGCCTTTCCCCCGGGAGGTGATTTCTCTACTTTTTGTCTCCCTGTCTCTCTGTCTCTCTGGAGAGTGCATGCACCCTATAGCAAAAAACCAAAACAAACAAACAAACAAACAAAATAAAACAAAATAAAAACAGGAAAGAAGAAAAATGAGATATCACCCCTGTGGGGGATGGGCACTTAGTCAACTTGGTCTAGGACTCAAACCTCGGTTGGGCATTTGCGATTCCAGTGATACAATCACTTCACCATTTGCTTGCCCCTCTATTTAGATTTTTAAAATAAGAAAAGAACATAATAAAAATATTCAAAAACTTGCATCAACACATTTCTGTAAAGATAAGGAAGACAACATTATAGGGTGGAAGCGCTCTATACCCGAGAGACTGGGCATGTCTCCTCATCGGCATGTTCAGGATATTGAGTGCTCAGAAGCTAAGCACGGACAGATGGCAGGCTGTAATGCGGTTGGTGAAGGGAGGAGAAAGTTCAGACTCTCTATGGCTAGCTGTCTTGAAAGAGAGGCTTTAGGGATAAAATCAGCTCTTACTCAAAGTTGTTTTTAAGTGATCTAGTCCTTCTGTACTTCTCCCCACTCTCACTCCAGGTTTTTCTTTTTCCTTTTGATTTGACACATAATCGTACATATGTATGGGGGCAGTGTGATTTTTTTTTAAGTACCTGGATACAATGTATAATAATTAGCATATCCATCATCTCATTTATTCTACTTTGTGTTAGGAGTATTCAGACCTTCTGGGATGTACAGTAAGTCATTGTTGACTGTAGTTACCCCCTGGTGCTGCAGAACCCTGGCACAGCTGTACTTCTTTGGTAACCAAAGGACTTTCTCTGCTGATTGCAGCTCAGCCCTCCGGTGATTAGTACATGCATGCAAACTGTGGAGAGATTAGGTCACTTCACAGGCACAAGTACAGTGTGATGCTTGGAATGCCCACTGTTTTTTTTTTTTTTCTTTTTTCTTTTTTTCCCCCTTTCAATTTACTGGCAAGTGCATTTTCTCCCTGGAAAGGGAGAGACTGAGTGTGGAAACACCCCAGGGGTACGTTCACGTAACAATCCTGTCTCCTCCATCTGTCCATCCTTTTAGGACTTGGGGCATATAACACATGCACCTGGCATTTTTTTTTTTTTTTTTTTTGTCTTCAAAATTCCAGGTCCTGGACTCAAAACACACCGTAGGCCATGTGGCATCCAGCTACCTTAGTGACCATGCTACTGGCTAGCATGTCCACTTTTTTATTTAAGATTTTTGCCATAGGGCACATACACTTGCCTGAGAGAGAGAGAGAGAGAGAGAGAGAGAGAGAAGGAAGGAGGGAGGGAAAGTGAGAAATCACCTCCTGGGAGGATGGCCATGCTGCAATTCCTTCTCTTCCATCTCCTCTCGAGATTTTGGGCACACACACATGCCCACTGTGATTTTCAAGCCACCAGGTCTAGGACTCGAACCATAGTCAGCCATGTGGGAGTCCAGCACCTCCATGCCACCTGCTGGTCCTGTTCACTTTTTCTCTTTAAGAAAAAGTCATATTGTATGTGTTTGCTAGGGCTGCCATAACACCGTGCCACGGACTGCATGGTTTCACAACAGATTTTCTCACAGTCCTAGGGAAGCCTGAGAGCAAAGTGTCAGCAGGGTTGGTTTCTCTTTGAGGTGTATATGGCTGTCTTCTCCCAGTGTCTCCACATGGTCTCTCCTTGCCTGTCTCCTCCTCCGCTCTCCCCACCCCCATGTGTGTTTTTGCCGTTGCCTTCTCTTTTTTTCCTGCTGGTTTTTGCCATGGGGCACATGCAGTTGCCAGAGAGACAGAGAGACAGTGAGAGGGGAAAGAGAAATCACCCCTCAGGGGGATGCCACACCACAGTCCCTTCTCCGTTCTCCTCCTGGGTTTCTGGGAATGCACGCACATGTGCCTGGAATGATTTTCAAGCTGCCAGGTCTGGGACTTGAACTGCAGTTGGCCTTGTAGTTCAGCGCCTTAACCACCACACTACGTACTGGCCCCAACACCAGTCAGATTGGATTAGGGCTCACCCTTATGACCTTATTTAACATATTTACCTCTTTAAGACCCTATCCCAAATACAGTAACATTTTGAGGTACTGGGGGTTAGGGCTTTAGCATAGGAATTGGGTTGCAGGTGGGGAGGGAGGGTACAATTTAGCCTAGAACAATTATGTACCAGGGAGCTCAGTTTTAAAACTGGAAAGACCAGGTAGTCAGTATTCAAGAATTCCAGGTGAGAAATGAAGAGAACCTAAACCAAGGAAGTGACATTAAAAACGGAAATGAGATTTGAGAATAAAAGGAGAAAGAGTTTGATTGAAGACTTCATGATTGAATGTGGAGAGGTGGTAAAGGGAGGAGGCTAGTGTGACTCCCAGATTTCTGTGCTGCAGGAGAAAAGGATGTGGGCTGTGCTGTGTCCCTGTGCCAGCACTCGATAGCTAACTGCCAAGGTGGGGTCGTCCGTCCCTCTTACTCCCATCCTGCTGCAGCTCCTTGGAACATGGCCTCCGCCACATGCAGCTGAACATGCAGTTTCTCTCCTCTGCACTTCAAAACTTTTATGTCTCCTAAGACACTTATTATTTATTTATTTATTTTAAAGATTTGTTCATTTATTTAATTCCATTTGTTGTTATTGTTGTTATTTATTTGACCAGAAAGAGAACTGTGGTCGGCCATGTGGGAATCCAGTGCCTTTAACCACCATGCCACTTGCTGGCCCCTTATTTATTTATTTTTACTATTTCTATTTTTTGAGAATTTTGCTATAGGGCACATGTGCTTGCCAGAGAGAATCAGAGAGATAGAAAGTGAGGACCCCCCTCCCCCCCCCGGAGGATGGTCATACCGCAGTCCTGTCTCCATTCTTCTCTCAGGATTTTGGGCATGCATGCACACACACGTGCCCGGCATCAGTTTTAAGCCACCAAACCCAGGACTTGAACCATTGTTGACTACATGGGAGTACAGCAGTGTAACCATTACACCATCTACTGGTCCTACCATTTTATTTTTAAATTGCCATCTTATTTTTATATTAGTTAATTTTGGACTCTCTTCTTTTCCTGATAGTGTAAGCTTCTTTAGAGCAGGGACTATTGTTTTACTCATTTTTGCCCAACTCTCTAGTGTCTAATACCTGGCTATACACATCAGATATCTAATATTTTGGCTTAGCCACATCTAGTTGAGGGGACGATTTATCAGGATTGTTATGATCAAGTACCCGCTCTTTGCATGTTTTAATTGAAACTGTATACTGAACAACTGTTTGGTTTTCTTGCAGCATGAGAAGACTTTGGGACATTCCATGAGTCATTCAAGCAACATTTCTAAGGTATAGTGCTACTGAAAGGTGTTATTTTTATACGTTAAGTTTTTATATTATTCCTTACATGTTTTTACACTCTTTTTAAAGACATGAATTTCCTGATACCTTTTTATAATCTGCTCTAGGACCCTATAGAGGTGTGTGGTAGTCATATTTTTCTAGTGAATGCAATTTTGAGTGTGTAGTGGAGGACACGACTTATGGAAGGATATTCTATTTCTTCCAGTGAATTCATACTTTCAGGCAGAAGATATCTCAGTCACTGGAGACTCTGCCATCTCAAAGTAGGAACACAAAGAGCAAAAAGCCAACTCTGGTGACTGTAGGCACTGTGGACACAGGTGGTTCAGATGACAGGGTGCCTAGAAGGGGTGGTGCCGGGCTGAGTTGCTCACTGATGTTGCAAGGGCCCCAGGGGCATGCTTTCTTTTCTGTTCCACTTTAGACCCTGTTATCATAGTGTCCTGTCTTATTTACCTGAAGCCTTCAGAGCTGAGGTGTAGAATGAGTACAGCCACCACCCATGCCAAGGCCTCTTCATTCTTGCAGTAGCTTCCTGAGAATCTGCCTATATTCTAGTCACCTCCCAAATCATCCTTCCCCAGCAGCCAGTAAATAGAGTCCTAACGCTGGGCCAGCTGGCAGTGTGGTGGTGAAGGCAGCTGGACCCCACATGGCCAACCGTGCAGTTCATATCAGAGCTGGTGGCTTGAAAACATGTCAGGTGTGTGTGTGTGCGTGCCCAAAACCCTGAAAGGAGGGAGAGATGGAGGGGAGAAGGGATTGTGGCCTGACCATGCCCCACGGGTGTTGGTTTTCACTTTCTCTTTCTCTCTCTCTCTTTCCAGAGAGCATATGTGCCCTCTGGCAAGTTAAAATATTTAAAAAATAATTTGAATAATTAAAAAAAAACAGACTCCTGATGCTTCTCCTTTCAGGTCTTCATGCTTCTTACTGCATTTAGAATAAGATCCCAGCTCTTACCTTGAGCTATCAGACTTGAGAGATCTGGCCCTGGCCACTTGCAGCTGCAGCCAGCACACTGTCCCCTGCCTGGGTCATTATGGTCTAGGCACGGTGACCGTTTCAATGGCTTTAAGACAGGCCAGCTTCTTCCTGCCTGCACAACTTGGCACATAGTGCCCCTTCTCCCTGGGAGGCTTGCCCCACTTCCACCCCATGTTTGCTTGATGGCTGATTCCTAACTCTTGTGTCTCCTTCAGATCTTAGCTTCTTTTGAAGAGCTTTCCTCGACACCTTCCCCTTAGTTGAAATAAGCTACATCATTCCTTTGGGCATCGCATTTCTTTTTCTTAGAGTGCCTGTCACAGTTTGTAATGATATTGTGGCGATGTGTAGACAAATCTGACGTTTCTTAAAAGTAGTGGAATTGGGGAACCAGCAGTTAGCGTAATGGCTATGTCGCTGGACTCCCACGTAGTCGACCACGGTTCACGTCCCGGACCCAGTGGCTTAAAACTCACGCCGGGCGCGTGTGCGTGCGTGCCCAAGATCCCGAGAGGAGAAGGGATTGCGGCGTGACCATCCCCCCTGGGGGGTGATTTCTCGCTTTCTTTCTCTATGTCTCTGTCTGTCTGGCGAGCGCACGCGCCCTACAGTGAAAATCTCTCCCCCCCCCCAAAAAAAAAGTAGTGGAATTGCACCTTGGGAACAGGCCTGTTTTGTTGCCAGCGTGCCTGGACACTGTCTGAGGTGCAGTTACTCTCCGGGACATGCTCACGGGAGGATGGCATTAGAATGCAGCCCTCTCGTAGCCTGCCTGACCTTCACCTTGAAGGATGGCACCTTGGTCATGGGCCAGCAGAGTCATCCCAGTGTAAAGCTCCTGGATTCTCCATCTGTATCCTACCCACACCCCAGGACCTTCCGGTGCTGCTGTTTGCTTAATCATTTTGTAAAGAACAAACCCAGAGTAGTGTATCACTGTGTGATACCTGAAATCACATGTTTGGTTAGTTTTCTAGCCTGAAAGTAAAACCTAATTATTAAAAAGTTTCTCTGGTGTATTACTCTCGCTGGTCCTGTCCCTGCCTTTGTGAGCTAGAGCTCTGCCAGGGAGGGGGTTGGGGACACTGTGTGGTGGAGAGAGGAGTGGCCTGGGCCAGCCCGCTTTCCACCTCTGCTTCCTGGGCATCTCTGCACCCTCTGCTACCTGGGCTACCACTGCCAGGGTGGAGGGAGCTGGGAAGGGTGGGCCAGTGAGGTGGACGCAGCAGGTACAGAACCAAACAGCAGAGAGGACTAAGCAGACCTCCATGCAGTTTCTATAGACAGAGTTCTTACATAGGGAGCAGATTCCTGTGAGGGGACAGATCACCACAGAGAGCTGAGGTGGAGAATCACAAGGAACCCAAATCAGAACAGCTGCTGAGGGAAGGTGTGGCTGAGGACAGGGCACTTACAGGAGAATGCAAAGAGGGAAAGGAGCCAGCCCGCCGGGGGTTCAACTATAGTAGAAAGGTGAATGTGTCACTGCTGTGGGACATCCAACCCCAGACAGACAGGACAGGGCAGCTGTCACGACATCCAGTTGCAGGTGTCTGGAAACCATGAGGCTGCACTGGCTGTGGTCCTTCTATGAGTACTCTAGCTTAGACTCCTTTAGAGGCAGACTGGAATTTCTGAGGAGCTGGAGCCACCCTGTCCAGCTAGCATTTCTTCAGATATGAGGAGAGGGTGGGCTTGCTGGAGCCTCTGCTGATGCCTCTGGGAGGCTTGTGGTACAGAAGAGGCAGCACCAGGTGTGACATTATCTTGCCCTGAGGGAGTGTTCTCATTCCGCTCTGGGAAGCAGACTTGTTCTAGGTGACACACTTTCTTGAGCAAGTTCATGATTGATGGCAGTCACCCCAGAGAGAAGGCAGTGGAAGCCTAAGATATGATGCCCCTTCCTGCAAGCAATCAAGTTCTCTAGGCCCCCACAGTTGCCAAAGGCTGGTACCCCATGACTAATTTTAGAACTTGGCATAATTTTATTCAGCTTACATGAGTATCATATCCCTCTGGCTAGCCAAATATTCCTGGGTTTCTAGAAGTCAGACTGGACACATAATATGAACTTGAAATTACTTCCGATTCCAGGATTGGGCAAGCAGATCTCAGTAAATGTGAAATGGACTCTTCGGGATCTCCTGAGTGTTTTCTAGTTGTTGCCTAATATCAGACAGGGATGAGACAGCAGAATGTCCTGTGCCAGAGGTACATACAGCCGGGAGGGAGGCTGGCTGACCCACTTTGCCCAGGGGCAACAGACCTGACTGGCTGTCAGTATCAGGGTTTGCTTTTCTCTTTCTAAACCTAGAGTTGACCAGTATCAGGCATAGGTTATTCAGACTTGTGGGTTATGAATATGGCACAGGGTGAACTTTTTTTTTTTTTGAAAGGTTTTGGCTATAGGGTGCCCAACTCTGTGAATATACCAAAAACCAATGAATTGTATGTACCCTTTAAGTGAGTGAATTATATGGAATGTGTATTAAATCTCATTAAAGCAGCTAAAAAATGTGCTCAGTATATATATTTGTAAATATTATGATGATTAATAGTTGACAATTTATGAAACTGTTTAAATACAATAAATTTAACGATCTTGTGTTGTCAATAATTGTTGGTTGAGTTTACAAAGATTAATTGCACTGTTAACATCAACATTTCTCTTGTAACAAACAAGGCACGGGGTGAATTTTTTTTTTTTTTGAAAGGTTTTTTTTTTTTTTTTTTTCCTGCTATAGGGCACAGAGAGACAGAAAGTGAGAAATCACCCCCCAGGGGAGATGGCCACGCTGCAATCCCTTCTCCTCCATTCTTCTCTTGGGATCATGGGCACGCATGCACACGCGCCCTGCATGAGTTTAAGCCACTGGGCCTGGGACTCGAACTGCGATTGACTACATGGGAGTCCAGCAACATAGCCATTGTGCTAATTGCTGGTCCGGGCTTCTTAATTTATACAAAGAAGACAACTGTCCCAAAGACAGGATACTTATTTTCTTGCAGCAAAAGCAAGGGAATGAGTTGGCGAGTCGAACGATGTAAGGCCGTGGCCGACTGGTCTGCATCCTGAGCACGGGTAGCCTGACCGAGTGTCATGGGCAGTGCTTGCTGTTTGATTCCCATTTTGCAAAGTTTGATTGTATTTTTCTATTTTTATATGTTTTTCTTCTGACTGGTTACAGTTTGGTTTTTGGCTAAAGTTGTAAAAGGCCAGCAGCTTTTAAAGTTGGTTCAGCATCTCCTAGCAGTAGGGGATGGGCAGATTTAAAACAGTTTCATAACACTACTTGGATGTTACTTCTTTTTCCCCCTCTCATTCTCTCATGAGTGTCCAGTGCACTTTCCAGATGCTGTCACATGCCAGATGACATCTTCTCCCAAACACGTACGAGATATGTCTTAAAGTTAGAACATGCAGTAAAGACTGAGGGATGTATCATGCGTAGACCCAGCTCTCAGTATTGGGAGCCTCAGTAGTCTTAGAGGGTAAAGGCTCCGGAGGCCAGTAACTGTGATCTCTGTTTTAGAGGCACGGTCTCCCGGGGGGGGGGTAGGTGTTTCATCCATTCAGCAAATGCTCACTGAACACCTGCTGTGTGCTGGGCCAAACAGCAGTAGCTTCCTGGTTAACGTTGTTCCAGAAACATTTTCTCATAAACCTTGATAGGTGCTGTGAAAGAAATGGACAGGAATAGGATGGGAGACTGTGTTTAAACATTAGGCAGGGTAAGCCTCGGTGAGTGAGGTGTGCAGCCTTCCTAGAGCAGGAGGGTGTGGTGCAGGGCACGCAGCTCCCAGAGCAGGGCAGGGCCAAGCAGGGAGGGCCAGCGGGGCTGTAGGGCCAGCGGAGGGGCTTTGAGCAGGTCTCTCAAGCTTCTTTTACATTGTGGGGGGATGTCTTAAAAGATGACTTCCTTTACTTGTCACCTCCTAACTTACTTGGCTTTTGGGGAGGAGCTGTAGCATGAAGTTAGGATGATCATTCCTACCTC